TATATATACATATATATATATATATGTATACATATATATACATATATATAAATATATGTATGTATTGCGTGTGTCCGTATCAGGCAATGTGTGCGTTCGCGTGCGTGCGTGTGTGCGCATGTGTGTGTGTGTGTGTGTATGCGTGCGTGCGTGCGTGCGTGCGTGTGTGTGTGTGTGTGTGTGTGTGTTTTTTTGTTTGTGTGTGTGTGTGTGTGCGTGCGTGCGCGTGCGTGCGTGCGCGTGTGTGTGCGCGCGCGACGCTCGAACGGTCGCCGTCGCCGTCGCCGACGGGCACTCGTCGCCGCCCCGCCGCCGCCGAGCCCCGCCTGTAGAATGCGCGTGCGTATGTATGCATGCGCGCATGAATGCCGCCCCCGAGAACTGGGCCCGCTTGCAGTCGGTCCGCTGCGCCAGCCGCCGCGCAGGAGCGGCGCTGGCATCGCTTTCGCTCCAAAGAGTCTAGGCGGAAACCTCGCAGAGACTCCGAGATCTCCTTGCCCTTCCGCTTGCCGGCGGCTCGGTGGAAACTGGAGAACCGCTCGCCCCGCCCGGGGGGCACTGGCCACTTCCGAATCTTTTTTTTTTTGGGTTTGCGCGCTTGATTTCAGTTCCCTGTTGGCGGAGGTCTGCGCGGGCAGCGGCATGTTTCTGTCGCGCAGCAACTGCGCGAGCTTCTCCGCTGCCTCCATCTTCTTGGCCTGGCTGTACTTGTCCGTCTTGCCGCCGATACTCGCAGCCGATTTTTCTCCCCCGACCCCCGACTTTTCGACGAATAATAAAGCCGCTCAGAAAAGGAGGGAGACCCTGGGATACACCCCAAGGGGGCTATTTGCACAAACCCTCTCGAGGATGGACGCGCCCCCGTCGTATATCCCAGGGGGCCCCAATTTTTTTGTCCATTCGAAAACCTCCCAAAGCCTGGGACAGGGGTCGACATATCCACTGTTAGATACGGCGCGCCTGGTGCTTGTTGCCGAAAGCGCCCCTCGCGGCGCGCTGTGGCGAATTCTTGTGCCATGTCGCAGTGTGCCTCTCCGCGCGGGGGCCGTCGCTGCCGGCGGGCTCGGACACGGCCGCGGGCCCCTCCTCCTCCGCCTCCTCCTCGTCGACCTCGTCGGGCTCGTGGCCCCCCTCCTCCCCCTCCCCCTCGCCGCCGTCGCCCCCCTTGTCGGGGGGCTCCTCCACGCGCCAAGTCCCCGGGGCAGCTGCGGGCTCCTTCGCCGCCTTCGTCGCCGCGGCGGGCCTCTTGAGCGGCAGGCCCTTGCCCTGCGGCTTCTTCTTCGGCCGCGTTTCGTGCGTGGCATTCGGCGCCTCCGTCTCCTTCTCCTCGTCGTCGCCGACGGTGGCCGTGCGCGTGCCGTCGGGCCCTGGCTTCATTATGTGCTCAGTGGTCGTCGCGCCGCGCTGCCTGATCAGGAGCGTGCGCTCGTAGTCGACGGAGAAGATCTCGAGTTTTTGTTCTCGAGCTGGTCGCTCTTTTTCTTGTCGCCCTTCTTGATCGCGATCGGGGGGTCGGCGGCGGCGCAGGCTGCTCGCGGCGACGAGCCGACGCTGATGGTGTCGCTGATCTGTTGCTGCAAGTTTCTTCCCTGGGCCCCGGCGGGGCGCCCGTGGGAGGCTTCGCGCCGCGCGCCTTGTAGATCGATCCCGGGCTCGTCATGGAAGCGCTGGCCGAGGCAGAGGTGCTGGCAGCTCGCGCGCGGGATCTGCTCCTAGGGCTGCCGCTTGGGGCCCTCGTCTTCCCCTTCCCCGCGCTGCCTGGCCCCGTCCTTCCAATCGAGCTGACCGGCTGCGCTGCGGGGTGCATCTTCGATCCGTCTGTGGCGCTTCTGGACCTCCAGAGGACGTGCGAGAGCGCAGCCGACATCTGTCTCGCATGCATGCGGGCGTCATCGCTGGGCGCGCCGTGCTAGTTGATGATCGCATCTGATATTTGAGGCTCAGGAATCCGCTGGGTGAGCTGAACGGCGCCGCCCAAGAACGCCACGATGGTGGCGACCAAGTCGTCCATGTCGGATTGGTAGATTTTCATCGCCAATATCTCCTTCCGGCATGACTTCACCAAGTTTTCCACGCTCTCCACTGAAGCCGTGTTCTTCGCCCGCTCCTCGGTCATGATTTACAAAAAAACAAAGAGTACGGTATCACGATTGAGCCAAAACGGGTTCGGATCGCGCGAGCCCCTTCTTGCGCCCTCCTTTCTCGTCTATTCCCTCCTGCGCAGGAGGTGTGACAGGCCCGAACCGAGCGATGTTGCAAGCTTATAGCCACATGTTGGAAAAGCCTGTCAGCTCTAATTATGAAACAGCTGTCAGCGCTAATTAATTAAGGGCCCACATTCCTAGTTAGAGCTGCTTGGACCCTCAAGGTAAGACCCTGTGCCAAGCGGCTCCAGGAGGCTGGCGGTGTCAGGTGTGGTGGGGGGGGGTGCCGGCGCGGTTTTGGTTGGGTGGGTGGCCCTTACGGACCTGTGCCCAGATGCTGCAGGAGGCTGGCGGTGTCAGGGGTGGTGGGGGGGTGCCGGCGCGGTTTTCTTAGGTTGGTGGCAAATGAGAACTTGTGCCCACAGGCTCCAGGAGGCCGGCGGTGTCAGGGGTGCTGGGGGGGTGCCGGCGCGGGTTTTGCTGGGTGGGTGGCCTTTAAGAACCTGTTCCCAGAGGCTCCAGGAGGCCGGCGGTGTCAGGGGTGGTGCGCGGGTGTGCCGGCGCGGTTTTTGCTGGGTGAGTGGCCCTTAAGACCTTGTGCCCAGAGGCTCCAGGAGGCTGGCGGTGTCAGGGGTGGTGGGGGGGTGCTGGCGCGGTTTGTGCTGTGCGGGTGGCCCCTCGGAACTTGTGCCCACAGGCTCCAGGAGGCTGGCGGTGTCAGGGTGGTGGGGGGGTTTTTGCTGGGTGGGTGGCCCCTAAGAACTTGTGCCCAAAGGCTCCAGGAGGGTGGGTGGTCGGGGGGGTGCCGGCGCCGTTTTTGCTGGGTGGGTGGCCCTTAAGAACTTGTGTCCAGAGGCTCCAGGAGGCCGGCGGTGTCAGAGGTGGTGGGGGGCTGTGCCGGCGCGGTTTTTGCTGGGTGGGTGGCCCCTAAGAGCCTGTGCCCAGAGGCTCCAGGAGGCTGGCGGTGTCAGGAGTGGTGGGGGGGTGCCGGCGCGTTTTTTTCTGGGTGGGTGGCCCCTAAGAGCCTGTGTCCACAGGCTCCAGGAGGCTGGCGGTGTCAGGGGTGGTGGGGGGATGCCGGCCCGGTTTTTGCTGGGTGGGTGGCCCTTAAGAACCTATTCCCAGAGGCTCCAGGAGGCTGGCGGTGGCACTTGGGATCGTCTTGGGGCTGCCTTGGGCTCTCTTGGGCATGCGCTGGAGACTATCTTTGGCCATTTTGAAGCATCTGGGGCCACCTTGGAGACCATTTTCGGCTCCCTGAGGCCCATCTCGGGCCATCCTGGACGATCCAACGGGTCGCGCCCCCCCCCCCCCGCCCTCCCTCCCAGGCCGAGGGGAAGCGGTAGGGGGGAGGTACAACATTATCTCGAGCAGGGAGAGTAAGGATTTTGCCAGGGAGAAGACGACGTCGTTAAACCACCTACGCCCAGGGGGCTGATGGGATTGCCCGTCGTTTTGTTGTTGTTGTTGTTGTCCTTGTTGAAGTCTCATGTCATTATTGTTGATCCCCCCGTCCGGTGCACATTGTTTCTTCGATTGAGGTGCCCTTCCCAGGGCTCGCACTCTGTTTTTTAAATCAGGGAAAGTCTTGAGGGTCAGACTGCGTTGTTGGCCCCCGGTTTGCAACAACAGCGACTCCCGCTTGATACTTCCTCAAAATTTGTTAGGAGAATCGCGCTCCCGCTTAGGATTTCCGTGCAATTTGCCACTGGTTCGCGGCTCCCACTTGATACTTCCTGACAAGTTATTAAAGAATTGCGCTCTCGCTTGGGACTTCCTCGCAACTTACCACCGAATCGCGGCTCCCGCCTGATACTTCCTCACAATTTAGTCAGATGCCGCTCCTCAACACTTAGGAATCGCGCTCCTCGACACTCAGGGTTCCACGAAATTTGTTTCTGACACCAGTCCGCAGCTGTTCGTCTCCCCGTGGGGGTATCCACGATATGTTCTTTCAAGGGGGTGGTGCGTGGCGCTGTTTATGGGGCGACCCATGGCGAAACTCATTGTTAACCTGTGGAGTGGCTGGCGCAAGCCATGGCGCAATGTGAACCGCCACTCGCAGCGCAAATCATCGTCCTCCTTCCTTCTTGCCCCTCCCCTCCCTTCCTCCGATCCCTTCGTCCTCATTCTCCCCCGTTATCTGGTACCTTTCGTTTTCAAAGGGCTTCATTAACCACACGTGGCAGGGAATGAATATACCCCCGAAGACGAAGAGGGCGGGTATCCAGGGTTTAGGATATGCATCATGAATTACACGCGAGCAGCTAAGAACGATCAGTTTAAAACATGATGGTTGTTGCTGTTGTTGCTCTTTTTGTTGTTGTTCGAACGACGCGAGGAGGTCTGGGACCGCTCTGCCTCAACCGCAGTCGTTGCCGTTGCCGTCGCCGCCGCTGCCGCTGCCGCCGTCCTGCCCTTCGCGCATGTGTGATAAGACGCTGTGATAAATAAAGCGGAGCAAGTGTGATTAAACATTTTGTCACCGTTGTTTGTTGGAACACATGTTTTTATATCAATACGTCTCATTTGTTTTGTTTTATATCATTTGTTTTTATATCGCGTGTTTTTTATGTTACCACATTTTCATCACGTTTTATACCACTTTATCAGATTTGGTTGGTGTTCGTGCCGTTGCCGTCCGCGTCCTTGTCCTCATGGCCGTCGGGCGTCGGGGGTCGGGCGTCGGGCGTTGGGCGTCGGGCGTCGTCGTCGTCGTCGTCGTCGTCGTCGTCGTCAGCAGCGTCGTCGTCGTCAGTGGCGGCGGCGGCGTCGCCGCCGCCGCCGCCTCCTCCCGCCGCCGCCCCAGTCGCCGCCGTTGCCGTCGCCGCCGCCTCCGCCCCGCCCGCCGCGCAGGGCTGGGTGCTCGTGCCGTCGCCAGCGCCATTCGCGGGCGACCTGCCCGTACCGACCTGCCCGTCGCTCTCGCTCTGCGACCTGCCCGCCGCGGGCTGGAGCGGCGCCGCAGCCTAGGGCCTTTCAATCGTCGTGGCCTTTCGGGCTGACAAAACGCAGTTTCCAGGCGCCCGATCAGCCAGCAGTCCTAACAATGCTCAACACTCTTGCGCGAGCCCCGTTTTGAAATGCGCAGAAGCAGCCACACATTCGCGATACGTTTGTATCAACACGCACTTTCGGAGTTCCGCGCTAATTTCTTGGATTGGCGCCTGGGCCTCCCTGGCGTCGCCTTCAGTGCCTCCCATGGCGCCGTCGTGGCAAGACGATGTCAGAGCTCGGGAAGCGCAGCGGTTCGTCCGCGCTACGGCGCGAGACCCCGTCCCCATCGGGGGCGTCCGCGTGGGAGCCCCATGGCCACCGCGATGCAGCAGGCATTGCATTCGGACAGCCCAAGGGGATGTCGGTCACCGGTGTTCCTGTTCGCGCCCAAAGTGTGGGAAATTGCCGTACTTGGGCTATCTGTTTCACACCTGCGGCGCAAGATACCCCTTCCCCGACCCCCGAACTCAATATTGAGAGTGCGAGAATGGAGAGGGAGGGAACGGGTGGACAGAAGTATTCGACCCTCCAAACCACTACCCGTGCTAAAATTAGCATGGATTTCTGGGGCGGGGGGGGGAGATGCACATCCCCCTCGAGCTTGCGAGGGTTCGAATGTTTTGTCCATGTCTTGTCTCATGCGCAACGCCCGCTCAGGACGGCGAGCGTATTTCTGGTCAGAGCCCCGCGGCCACCGCGACGGAGCAGGCCCTGCATGTCGTCGCGCGTGCCAAGCGGGTGTCGCTGAGGGCTCCTCCACGGGCCCGCTCGCGCCCAGATTGGCGGGGACGCTCCAGGCGAAGCGCCGGTTTGGGGCGGTGGGGCGTGCTGCTTCTCGGGGGCACCCGGGCACGACAGCGTGGCATGCATGGCGCGTATGGTGCCCACGGGCGCGCTCGCGCCCAGGCTGCGGGGACCTCTCGTGCGAACTTTTCGTTTGAGGCGGTGGGCCTGTCTCTTTGTCACACCCCCATAGCCACCGCGATGCGGCAGGCAGCACGTACGAGCCTCCCAATAGGGTGTCGACCAGGGGTGTTCGAAGGGCGCGTTCGCGCCCAGATAGTGTGGAACTCTCACGCGGAACGTTTGCGACGTTGGACGTTTTTGTTTCCAACCATCCTGTGGTGTTGGGTCTTCGTTTTGAAGAGACAGCGCCCCGCGTCCCTTCTCCTCCTCCGCGCCCCCCTTCCTCCTCCTCTTATCATCAGCAACATCAGAATCAGCATCATCATCATCGTCGTCGTCATCATCATCACCAGTATCACCATCATCATCATTAACATTATCAGCATCATCATCATTATCATCATCATCGTCATCATCGTTACCACAGTCAGGATCATCATCACCACCATCATCATCACCATCATCATCACCATCGTCAACGTCATCGTCATTATCGTCAACATCATCATTGTCATTATCATCATCATCATCATGATCATCCTTATCATCGTTCGCATCACTTTCATCACATCTCCATCGTCATGATCGTCATCGTCGTCATCATCATCAGCAGCATCAACACCGTCAACACTGTCATCATCAACATCATCATCATCATCATCATGACCAGCATCACCATTATCATCATCAGCATCAACTTATGACCACCATCAGCATCGTCAGCGACACCTTCACCGTCCTCATGACCGTCATCATCGCTATCATCGCCATCATCATCATCCTCCTCATCAGCATCACCATCATTATCAGCATTAGTATCATCATCATTCTTATCATCATCGTTGTTATCATCATCACAATCATCACCATCAGCACCATCATCTTCATCACCATCACCATCACCATCACCATCACCATCACCATCGTCATCAGCATCGCTACCATCAGCATCAGCATCAGTTCAAGCATCAACATCATCATCATCATCATCATCATCATCATCACCATCATCATCATCATCACCATCATCATCATCATCACCATCATCATCAGCATCATCATCATCATCATCATCATCATCATCATCATCATCATAGCCGTCATAACCACTATCATCGCCATGAGCTTCGGCACTCCCCTCACAAGTTTCGTGGCTACACAAGGGGCTCTACCTACGGTCTCAGTGGTGTAGCGGGCGACGCCCCCGTTTCGGCACACCCCTCACACGTCCTGTGGCCCCACAGGGAGCTCCATCTGAGGCCACAGTGGCGCCGCCCGCATGTGTGCGAAATCACCGTTTCGGCACACCGCTCACACGCTGCGTGGCTCTACCGGGAGCTCCATCTAAGGCACCAGTGGCGCAGTCCGTCGCAATCGCCGCCGCGAGGGTTCTGTAGACCAAATATGCGAGATCGCACGGTTCAAGCTCGGCAGGACATCCCCCGCCCATCTCTGTCAGGTAATCTTTAGATACACTGCGCATCCGTTGATCAAAAAACATTTATTGCCCCAAATCCCTTGCAACCTATGGGGCGAAATGCGCGCGCGCGGCGTCGCGCGCGCGTGCCGGAATCCTATGACAGTCGAGGGGTCCGGAAGGATTTCACAGTGGATTTCCCCGAGACCATATCGCGCATTTCGTTTGCGACGCAATGTTTCTAAACAAAATTGCTCGTGTCCTCTTGCGAGGTCATAAGAATTCCATGCGACGTTTTCATCGCATTCGGCCATCGGGCATGTCGCGCGCATGTCGAAGTCATCCCAACGTCCTTGCGCTCTGTCGCGACCACCGCAGTCGCCGAGTCGTACTGCCAAACCCGCGCATCAGCGCGGCTTGCGAGACGCGTTGGGACGTCCCCAGCCGTCGGCGCCATCGCGGCCGCGTCGGTCGCGCCAGACTTGCTGGCCGTTTTGCGCGCGAGCTTGCTCGCGCGAGAGCGGCCGCAGCGATGCGCCAGCCAGCGCCGAACAGGCATCGCAATCGCCGCCGCGAGGGTTGTGCAAACCAACTTGCGGGTGGGTCGGCGGGATGACTGCGCGAGCAGTGGAGTTGACAACATTAGATTCGGCAGGGTGAACTGCGCCACGTAGGTTGCACCGCGTAGAACGCGCCACGTGGGCCGCACAACATCGAGTGCACTGCCGCCGGAGCCCAGACTCTGCGGTGCTCGCGCGCGCTGTGTTCAGAGGCGTTGTGGTGTTCACACGCGCTGTGGTGTTTTCTGGCTGTGTTGTGTGCACAGGCGATATGGTATTGAGAGGTGGTGTGGTGTTCGCAGGCGCTGTGTTCACAGGCGTTTTGGTGTTCACAGGCGCTGTGGTGTTCGCGCACGTTGTGCTCGTAGGCACGTCGCGTTGATCGGATCGCAAGCTTTTGTGGCGCTGGTCACAGGCATGTCGTGATTGTGGGGTCGCAGGCGATTGTTTTGCGCAGGCGTATTGCGGTGCTTCCGGGCATGTTGCGCCCCAGGCGCACCCCCGCCGTGACGTGACCAGCGCGGCTAACTCCCCCGGGTCACGCCCGTGACCGGCCCGAATAAACGAACGGGCTCCAAAACCGACCAGCCGAACATTTTACTGGGGTGCGTGGTTCAAAGCGACGAAATGCGATGCAAGGCTCGTCGATCAATCGCGACGCGGGCGGAAGTAGTCAAAGATGCCTTGCCACCGTGGCCGGTCTACTGGAGGGTGCCGGGGGAAGCGTTGAAGCGACAATGATACGTGAAAGTTTGATTCCCGCACAGCCGCGCTTGCAGATGACAGCGCCTGGGTCCGTTCGGCCTGGATCGAACGGATTTTTCCAACGCGCAACGAGCAACGCCGAATCTGGGAAAAGTGGGCACAAAGTCGCGGAGCATCGCTCCGAACGTGGTTTTTGGCTCGTCGCGCCTTTCGCATAGATCTACCCGCAAGTTGGGTTGTGGGACGTGCGCGCCTGAATTGATCCACGATCGTTTCGAGGAGGGCGGTGTATGTGACGGTTTGGGCGATTTTCGTGTTCTTGATTTCGCGCGCGTTAATTCCGTTGACAGCGATGTACATGGTATCAGTGGCAGCGATCAGCGCTCACCAGTAGTCGGTGCACTCGGTTCAAACAGTGGAGTGCTTGTGACAGGTGTAGTTTCGTCGGCTGCGGACCCAGGGAAAATGATATTGTTTCGTCGCCCTATAACAGTACCCAAGCACACGCGATTTAAGTTTTTTCGGCATGGTGTGTTGGACATAGGACAAAAAAACGCATTGGAGTAGCAATTCGTCATCGTGCGTTGTAGCGATGGAATGTGCTCCTCGGGCGGATTTGGCAGTGTGGGCATTGGTGAATGACTGTTTTGCTTCTCGCTGTTGGGTCTGGAGTCGGTTGGTCTTCAGTGGTGCCCGCTCAGACTTGGGACTTTTCCACCATTCGGACATTTTTTGTTTGAGATTTTCAGAAGCACGGCGAGTAGACATGGAAGGACTAGAAAATCGCGTCGTGTATCTGAAATTCCTGGTGTCTGAGTGTCTTGAAAAGCTTGGAGGTCCTCCAATAAGGGGTTCGATGGGTGTGATTAGTATAGGCGGCGAACGCTGGCCTCAATGCAGAAACCGGATTGTTGCGCTTGGACTGAGCGAGTTTGAAGCCGGGGGCGGCATACTTGCAGGGACATCACCGCTTGATGCTGTGAAGTTCATCTTCAGTTTGTGCATGACAGGGTCACCGCACCAACCCTGTCGATTTGAAGTGTTGTTCCGCACGGATGTCGTGTGCACATTTTCACATTCTTGCCACTCCAGGGGTTGAGTAGCACGTATTGGTAGTTACTTACGCCTATGTTTTGGAATGATTTTTCTACCGGGACCGTGTGGGCGCACAGTTCGGGAGTCGGATGTTTCCCACTGTGCAGGATTTCAGTGCTTGTTGAAGGCGATGGTTAGAAATTGGAGTTCGATTTCATACGGTGTCTTACCATCGA